GGGCACGAGCTTCTATCACCTTGGCAGCAGAGAGGCTGATAGGTTCAGAGAGGGGACGAAGAGGACGGAGACGAGCAGCAGGATGATAACGACGAGAGAAAGCCTGCAGAGAGAGAGAGGAGAGAGCAAAAAGAAAGAACAAAAACGGCGAGTGGGAAGGCGAATGGAAACAGAAGAAGGCGTAGGAGGAGGAGCGCGGAAAGGGGGGAGAGGCACGAGGTGGCTGGAAGAAAGGCGAGAGATTCGGGAGGGTAATTAGGAGTGAGAGCTCCGACGACGACGACGACGACGACGACGACGAACTCGTTGTCGTCGCCTCGCTCGCCGTCGTCGAGGCGAGCCGAGCGGCCAGCGGAGCCGGCAAGACAGGAGGCGGCCGCGTCCGGTCGGCCACCACAGGCCGTGAACAGTCCCCTCCCAGCCCCCCCCGCTGACGAGCCGCCGCCCCGGCTCGAGGTTCTGGGCGCGGATACCAGGCATCCGCGAACCTCGCTCGGGGCAGCTGCCATGCGCGCCGGCCCGCGCACCTGAGGCGAGCGGGTCCGGCCGCGACACGAGACGGTTCCTGGGCCGGCTGCTCGGCAGGCCCAGAGGCCCCTGGCGGCGGCGCTCTGCCGCCTGGGCTGGGCCGCTTGGGGCCGCCGGCCGGTCCAAGGCGCAGACGTCGCCCCGATGGCGGTCATTGTGGACACGTTCATGATGGACTCCAGGACTCCAAGGGCACCCAGAGGCCGCCGAGGCCTGGCGGGCCGTGGAGCAGGGCTACGTGCAGGCGCCCTTCGCAGAGCAGGATGTCCTCGACGCGCAGGCCAACGTGCAGGAGGCCCTCGACGCGCAGGCCAACGTGCAGCAGGCCCTCGACGCGCAGGCCGACGTGCAGGAGGCCCTCGACACGCAGGCCGACGTGCAGGGCTCCGTACAGGCCGACGAGCAGGAGGCCCTCGACGCGCAGGCCCGTGGAACTCGAGGTGGGCAAGGTGCTCCCGGGTGTGGCTGCGCTCGATGATAAGATCGTCGTGAAGAAGTCCGTGGAGGACCATGTCGGCCTGAAGGCAAAGACGGAGCTGATCCAATGCGACCTCAACGTGCCCCTGACTGCGGACCTGGACATCACGGACGAGAAGCGCATCACGGCCTCGATCCCGACAAGCAGGGGCGCCAAGGTGCTGGCGTGCTCCCACCTGGGCCGTACCAAGGACGGGCCCGAGCATACACTCTCGCTGAAACCAGCGGCGAAGACAAGACGAACCTGTTCGCGAACGGCACGTTCGGCACCGCGCACCGGGCTCACTCTTCCACCGAGGGCGCGACGGAGTCCCTGGTGCCGAGCGTCCCTGCGTTCTGCTGAAGGAGGAGTTGGACTACCTGAAGGGCGCCGTGGACAGCCCCGTAAAGCCGTTGGAGGCCGTAAACATCACGTGGTGCAGGCGAAGGCCGCGCAGAACGTGCAGCTGAACGTTCACGTGGTGACCGGCCGAGTGAGTCAGAGCAGGTTGGAGGAGGACCATGTCGCACAGATCGACGCACTACTGGACGCCGTAGTGTCGCCCCTCAGCTGTGTCGACTCGGTGATTAGGGAGAGGCGCGAGCGCCGGCCGCCCACCTCGCACGAGTTCCTTTTGTGCCGCGTCTATAGCAGACTGGCGCACGGCGTTTGGGCCCGCAGGAGGCCACACCGCCCATGAGATTTTCATTTTCCTATGCCGTGCAGGTGTCTACTGTCGGCATCGTTCACGTTTCGATCCCTGTGCGAGGAGGCTGCACAGCCTCGGAGGGCGGCGCCTGGGCCCGAATGCGGCCAAACCGTACATGTGATTCGTTTCGGGCCCTCTGCGAGGAGGCTGCGCAGCCTCGGAGGGCCCTCCCCCCGTGGGCCCCTCCATAAGTTGAGGGTACCCCCCTGGGCGTAAGATTTCTGTGGGCACTTTCAGGAAGGGAGGAGGCCCGCGTCCGCCGCGCAGGAAGCAGGACGGAAGGACCCTCGGCATACCCCATCTTGCGTCCAAGCCTGTGCCCACCACCCCCCGCTGACGAGCGCTCCCCCTGCGAGCAGAAGGTGAGACGTCTGCTGTCGGGGAGGCTCGCTGACCCCCTCTTATAAATCCAACTGCTCTCAGAACCCTTCCCGATGTTGACGCTGGGCGACGATGGGGCAAGGTTTTCCTGAAAACCTGACAACACAGAGGTGCCTCGTGCCGAAGGCTGCGGAACAGAAAGGCAAGAAAAACATGACTGCAAACCTGCTATACAACTCTCTGGGCCTGCCCACTGTCTCAAAGCTCACATGGGTTAGATAGTTGGCAAGAGAATCGACAGTCAGCCCAAATTTTCAGAGCTTTAACTGGGTCTTGAAATCATCCAGAGAGCAAGGTTCGCACTCCAGTCACGAGCAACAGCACTGCCTCGCCCTCGCGAGGTGTCTCCCTGAGACCACAAAATGTAAGGGAGCAATCTCTTCAACGGGTGGAGAGGGGAGAAAGAGAGAGAGAGAGAGAGAGAAAGAAAAAGAGAAACCACCAACCACCACCACCACCGGGGAAAGGCGGGAAAGGGAAGGGGTCGTGTCGCCACACGCCGCTATGGCGCCGGACCTGTCTCCGGATCTTCACCGTGAAGCTGTCGGAGGTGCTTACCAGAATAGGCTCTGGATCTGTCTCTTCCTGCTACTCTGTCCTCCCTGTTCCTCATGCTCGTCTCCTCACTTACCAGACGTAACATGCCCGAGGAAAGCAACTTGAACTGGGCCAGATTACCCTTCTGAATGTCCGACTTTGTGAGAGCATCCACCGGCATCGCTGGGTGAGGTACCCACCGTATCTGACTCCCAACTCTCGTCATCACCGAACGGATAACCGACAAATCGATGGCGATGCGTCTGTCGGCTTTGGGGCCGCTCGTTTCCTTGTCCAACGTGTCGAATATCCCCTTGGCGTCGACTATATGAACGTTGTTCAGGGGGGCAACATTAAGCTTACAGTCCTGCCGAAGAAGCGCGGTGCACGGGCCCACCTCACCCCTCCAGTGCTCGGTCAGGAGCCCTCCCTGGGTCACGTCTAAAAACAACATCTGCAACCACTCTGCCTCGGCCACCGCCCCTGACAAAGCCAGGACTTCCCCCCCGAGGGTCGAGGGAACCTGTCGTCGGACCCGGCTGGACCTCCACGCGATACGAGTAACCCTGGAAAGTTTTCCATCCTGAATGGACGAATCGGCAGCGTAGACCTGCCAGGCCTGCTGAATCTTACTTCTATCCAGACCCCCAACCCCTCCGCAATCGCTTGCGGTCGCGAACACCATTCTTCCTGGACGAAAAGGCCACGCGATCAGCGGAACCTGGGCGGTGTTTCGAAGGTGATCGACCATACGATTGGCCTCCAGGACGTCGCCGATACAAGCCTGGGTCAGCCGGGAAGCCAGCATCGAGGCAGCGCCTGCTGCCTCGGCGCGCGACTCCCTTCCGATCCAGTTCAGCTTGTAAACCAAACTCCTGAACTGTTCGAACTCGTGAGGGAGCAAAGCCTTAGAGCGATTCGACCTACGGTCCCTGGGGAGCTCCACCTTATGGAGATTCTCGAGAATATATTTCCCCTGATCGAGGAGCACTCGATCGGGCAGCCTACGAATCCTACGGCCGATAAAGTCGGTCCCCTGCTGGTCGACCTTCCTCAACTTACCGAATTTGAACCTACTGGTGAACGCGTTCAAACGCTCCTCGGCCAGGTCTGGGGACACGGCGATCAGCTAGTCGTCCACTTCTACCAAGACCTGGGACCGAAGTCTACCATCCACGCGCTCGTAGAACCAGCATGGCTCCATGCTGGCCTTCTGGTACCCTTTCTGGGACATAAAATCGCGAGTGGTCTTGTGGAGGGCGAGAGGAGCGCCATCGAGCCCGTAGACCGGAGCTATGAGCTCTATTAAGGCCCCCGGGGCCAACCTCAAGCCATCGCATGGCTCGACAAACACCCGACCCCGGGGACGCTGGAGCGTGTCGCTCTGACAAAAGGCATTTTTGAGGTCCCCAACATACAAATCGAGCCCATACATGAGAGACACCACAAGAAACATCATGAGGGACTCCATCTGCGGGGTCGGTGCGTACACCTTAAGCTCGGCAGTGTCCTCGTCCTCGTGACCCCGGACGCACCACCTCGATTTCGCCTTCGGGGGAGCAAAGGTCCCCTCCTGGGGTTTCCAGCGACGCACCATCCTCGAACTCACCACTCTGTTTGGGAAGGAGGCTCTGAGCTGTCGTCCAATGTCCGGGGGATGCACAATGACAGCTTTAGTCTCCAACATAGCCTTCCACTCACTGGCATCTGCGACCTCGAAGGCTCTCCTGCCCTGAGCGTCGAGATCCTTTCACCTAACCTCCTGCCCCTTCCCCACCAGCAAAGAAAGAGAGACGGAACTTGGGCTGGGGCCCACAATCACGCTGGCATTCCCGTTAGAGAATGTGCGCCAGTCTCCACTCCAACCGTCCTCGCGTAGCTGACGATTGATACCACACAGATAGGCTCTGGCCCCTCGGGATCCTCTCCCGTTCCCAAAACAGACACAAACTCTGGGGACTCACTGAAAGAAGCGAAGACAGCGGAAGTGAGAGGGTCCTCACCGGTCTCCCCTGGCATCTCAGCATCCGTTCCCCCCGGATCTCGATCCTGCTGGGCGGCACGGGGGATGGGGCTCCTGGACCCGCGATGCATCTCGCCTCTCTCTTCCCCCTGGAACTCCTCGACCTGCCTGCGGACCCTTCCAGGGATATCCGCTCGAAAATCCTCTCTAAGGGTCGGGAGTCTTCTAGCCGCGGCGCCAAGATCCAGTCTCTGATTCTAACGAACGGCTTCTGCCACCTGTTGAGGGAAAGAGGAATCGGAAGACGAGGCAGGAACCGGGTTCAAGGGCCCCCTCGGGCTCGGGCCTGCCCCCGAGGGCTGGTCCTCTCTCCGTGGGGATCGGGATCCTCTCCTGGCACTGTCTCCTGCGGATAGGACGTTCCC